GCCTAGATTGAGGGGGGGGGGGCGAGGANGAACTGGTCATCACAACTGTCTAGAACTGGTCATCACAGCCATCTAGCACTGGTCATCACAACTGTCTAGAACTGGTCAACACAGTCGTCTAGAACTGGTCATCACAACTGTCTAGAATTGGTCATCACAGCTGTCTAGAACTGGTCATCATAGCCGTCTAGAACTGGTCATCACAGCCGTCTAGAACTGGTCATCACAACTGTCTCGATCTGGTCAACACAGTCGTCTAGAACTGGTCAACACAGTCGTCTAGAACTGGTCATCACAACCGTCTAGAACTGTGCAACACAGGTGTCTACAACTGATCAACACAACCGTCTAGAAGTGGTCAACACGGCAGTCTTAGACCCCATTTCCATAGATTTTAGATCGATCTATCCCTGTGGGGAGTCTCACTAGATTACTGACAGCTTAGCCGGCTTAAGCGTCTCTCCCGCCTACTGAAAGCTGTAAGGGGGTAATTAACTATGGTGCGCGCTCGACTGATTGCAATTTAGCGTGAACCCCCAGGGAGTTAGGTCGATCTAAATCTTAATCCCTGGATCGATCTAAATCTCTGGGAATACACCCTAAGGGTCTGTTCCCACAACTTTAGATCGATCTTTCACCGCGGGGAGTCTCACCAGACTACCGTCAGATAATCCCCCTTAAGTGTCCGTCCCCGCCCACTACAAGCCGTAAGGGGCAATTAACTTTCGTGCCGGCCGGCTGACAGCTATTCAGCGCGAACCCCCAGGGAGTTAGGTCGATCCAAAGTAGGTCGATCTAATCTATGGAAATGGGGTGTTAATCTGGTCACCTTGCATACGAACGCGACCGTCTTCATGCATACGAACGCGGCATAAGCAATCGGGATCCTTGGTGACATCAGTTAAACTATAGCCAGTTCGGGTGAATTCACTTTTCTGCCTCCACTCTGTACAAATAGATTTTGTCAAAAAAGCAACCGGGTTACTCCTAGACTGATTTATCGTAAAAGAAATGTGCACTGAGAGTAGCATGTTATATTGTTTATCTTTCACGGTGGGATTTAACATAACAGATGAACGGGAGGCTGAGTTACACAACGTTTCTTACACTGAAATATTAAAAAGATATTGTTATAAGAATGGAATTTTTATTTCCTACACTTAATTGAAGCTGTACCTTACACAGCGCGGCCTTCCTCAGTGAGTGCTGCTTTGAGACTGAGCACTATTCACTATTCACATCAATTAAGTGTAGAAAATAAAAGATTTATCTTATAACATGAAATATATATAAAAAAGATATGCAACGGAAAAATAACATCGGTTTCCACACGTGCCCATAATGGTTCTGTGATCATGAACTAGATGTCACGTTTGTTATTGTTGACATACCACAGGCGTGTGACCCCCACCTTGGGGGGTGATAGGTTTGCCCTGAAAACGCTCCCAGTCCACCTCCCCGAGCGGACGCGCCACTTTCAGACACAGGCTGCCTCCGACAATGTAAAAAGACCCAGACACCCGGAAACGCTCGAGTAACCGATCGTTATTTTCCATTTCGATTCACGGCCGGATATCTCCGCTTGTGTTAGGGATCAATTAACACTTTCTCTGCTCATCAATGGATCGTAGAGATTGTGCTAAGATTTACATTACCCTCGTCAGCGGAAACCTAAAGTCTATAACCTCACAGCGCCTTCCGGGAACTCAGAATGCAGAGGTAGCGTACCGAGGGAGATTACCACGGACGAGCAGCGTTCTTTGACAGAGTTCTCTGTCGTGCTTAGTGCACGTGGACAGGGCCTAGATTGAGGGGGGGGGGGGTGGCGAGGAGAAGGGTGGGAGAGAGGGGTGGGGGTCACATGTTCTCTCCTTGCGTTGTAAGTGAGTAACCTTCCTAGACGTTTTGAGGACAGAGATTGCAGTGGTCCTGCCGATGAATATGAAACAGTGAAGGGAGAATGTAGTCGTCAGGAATATGTCGACTGTCGGGCCGGGTTTCTTTTACCTGTTCGCTAGACTTGTTAAACACCCAGCTTGCGTACATAATCCGTTCTCCGGCGTATTAAAGGATAAAAAAAGGGGACGACAGAGGGTTTAAAGCAGGGGGGGGGTAAGGGGGGTAAGGGAGATATTTAAGGACAGGAAATTATCACATTTGAAAGCAATATCAAAACTTAACACGGTGGCTCATGTGACTTAAAACTGATTTTAAAAATGAACGCAAAAACGTATTTGAGGGATTATTGATACTAAACTCGGGCCCCTTTTATCATGAATTATATAAATGCCTCTAGCACATTATCAGTAATATAGGCAAGAGGTCAATTACTTTTAAGTATTTAAAATATCCAAGGCAAATGTTGGACAAATATAATTGGGGAGGGGGGGAGGGTAAAGGGACAGAGTGTAAGATTTTAAAAACACGTTCAGTTCGACTTTTTGTCGAGCTTAGGTAAGATCATCATACTATTTGGTTATATTAAACAAAAAAATGTACACAGTGCATCGTGATCGTTAATTGCAAGCCAAGCTTTCTCTGATGAAAAGATTGGGTTTAACATAATTTGGCGTTCTGTAAGCATAAAAGAAATTATGTATCTAATTGAGCGACCACCGTGACATAAATTACATTTCAGATGTCCAATACAGCGGAAAAACAGACGATGGAATGAAAAAGTTTGAGCTCGTAGTCGTTGAGCTCTTCCTTCGTGTTTTATCATTCTCATATTTTTGCTGCGTACACGGTTTTGTTTCTAGTCGTTAAAGGGATTTCCGCATAGGTCAGAGCTGTTCGCCAATTATATCTATTATCATATTAAGGAACGTGTTATTAGCTTGATTTATCGAACTGATTGCTGGTCTTCTTGTGTGGTCTACTCATGCTGTAAAGAAAAAAAAAACAGTTTATATATGAATCCGACATTTTCCACCATTCTACATTTTGTCTTATTCAACGATCAGTAAGTTTCGTTTTGATAAACAAAAATAATACTATTATTTCTTACATCTATCTAATTTTTACATTCTTAAGAAGATTACCTATGTAACTGGTATGATACGTATAGATTTTGATACTTTTTGATACTTGTGATGTCTCTCTCTCTCTCTCTCTCTTTCTTTGTCACACACACTCACACTTAAAATCTAATCCGTATAATATAAATAACTTAGACTAAGTAGATAAATATGACAATATACGTATCAGACCTAGGAGTGTAACATATTATTGCACTTCATTTTCCTCTAAAATCTTTCAAAAAACCTAAAACATGAAATACATAAAATCACGGTTAACCTAGGATTCAACATAAACCTTATGTTAGATCCTAAGGTTAACCTTTCACGTGACCGGTCAGGAACGCTTGACCACTGGTTCAAACGATGATGAACTCTGATCGCCATGGGGGGTCACGTTTCAGTCAGGGTGAATACCACAGAAGGGTAGGGATTGATTGTGCTGGATTCATAGAAATGTCACCGGGTTGGGAGCAGTGGGCCAATTTAGGTAGCTTAAAGCAGAAGCATGTTCCGTGTTAACCCTGTCACAGAACTTGTACGACTTGAACGAACAGGTATGATGTGATATATTTGGCAAGTTTGCGTTATTTCCTCCTAGAAAGGTAAAATGATGGACGGTTAAGGAAAAAAACATTTACCGTGGCGAGAAAATCTACCATATGTTGGTAATGTTGGTTATTTCCCTCTGATGATGAACGCACAACAATAATTTAAATTCTGGTTTCGCCCGTCACGCCTCCACAAGAAGATATAGACCAAAATTTACCTGACCACAACATGTCGGTCACGGCGAGCTGCAGATTGTAGCGCTAAAACCAGCGTCTTAACCGCACTCGCTGAAATCTGACCTAGCGATCGCTGCAGTCGTGTAAACCGCTAGCGCAATCTTACCTCTTTCGTTTACTCACTGACTTGCCTCTCGTCCAGGAAGTAACCCGAAGACCTGCACAATCACAAACTGTTACACAACTGGTGAGGAGTTTTCCCAGTATATCCCAGCGCCGGCCAGTAGTGGCGGTGGAGAGCGCGCTGATGCACTGGTTGGATCTTTTCCCTGTTAATTGTTTCATCCGTGATACGCCAGAGTGAGCCACGTAATCCGTCCTATCGCACCCCCCTCTTTACTTCCTAATTGATGCCCGGGCAGCACTCGAACTTAAAGTGGAAGTTTAGTTTCATATTTCTGTAAAACAAGGAAAATGATAACTCAGACAAAAAAAAAAAAAAAAAAAAAAAAAAAAAAAAAAAAAAAAAACACGACTTACGCACAGTTGCAACCCATGTGGAGAAAATGCCCGTTTCTTGTTTTGTGGAGTTATTATTATTATTATTATTATTATTATTATTATTATTATTATTATTATTATTATTATTATTATTATTATTATTATTATTATTATTATTATTATTATTATTTTGCTTTGTTTTCGTTTTATTTGCGCAGTGAATGTTCCTGTAAACTGAGGAAGTAAGTTGAGTTAGGCAGCATCCTTCCTGGGTTCATTTTTAAGAGAATTACGTGTTAAATTGATACCCTACGGTTCTAACGTGAGCACTAATAAATTTCATTAATGCCAAAGTAAGGATTTTGTAACTGACCTCTTTTCAAAGTTTAGGATGGATCGAATATCGGCGCGGGGGGAGGGGGATTGACTGGTCGCCTCCCCGATTTTATAAGAGATATGTACTCAGTTCTCATGTATTTCACGTTTTATTATTTCACGACTGGAGCTGAGCGACAGCTAATATGACTCCTACCTATCGATCTTTACCCCTACCCCCACACCCCCTCACACACCCACCCCTCCCCTCTCCCACACCCTTAGATACTGATCCCTTTAATTCCACCCATAGCACTTATAAATCTCAATTTCCACTCACTGGCAGTAAACAAATATTCAGCGCCCTGGCAGTGATACATGTACTTTCGGCACCCTCTGTTGCGGTAAACGCATTTCAGGCAGAGAGTGGTTTTAGTCACGCGCATGTACTGTTCTCTGGCATACGTGATGTGAGCGAGGTTTTGAGGTCCCCTGTAGTGCTGGGCGGCGTGTAGAACTCCAGCGCCATTCACAGCGTACGCTGCTTGCTATAAAGGACTGGCAGAAGCTGTTAGCCCAAGCAGACACAATCGACGAGTGCTACTGTAAAGAGTCGCCGGGAGAGCGATCTCGTGCAAGCCGACTTAACGTATCGTTAACCAGTGCTAGGCTGCTTTGACGGCTAGTAGGATTAATGATACCTCAACCGAGGCGAATTTAAAGAGAGAGACACTCTGCCGGAGCTCCACTAGTGTATTAAGTGATTGTGCAGTTAGTGAGCAGAACGCGGAAATACTGTCGCTTAACCCGGCTAGCGTTTCAGTCGCTGGGTCCGGCGTTCTTGTACCAGTGCTTATTTACTAGGCTGAAAGCATACCGAGGACAGCTGGACACGCCTTACTTAGATGTCCATCTTGCCCAGGTGGACAGTTAGGCCCTAATCTTTAACACGTATCCTGTTAAAAAGTAGGCGGACAAGTGATTTAGTACAAGAAGTACGTCGAAGTGGACACGGTGACCAGGGGAGGTGGTCAGTCCAGTCGTACCTTCCTTAATTAAGGTGACCAACGCGCGACATGGTCTGGACGCTCTAGGGACCGTATCCAGAAAGCACGTAACCAGAAGACGTCAACGAGTCCACAGAGACGCTAGTGTTAACAGCCAGTCGCCGGGGCACAGGGAAAGGGCACACTAACGCTGGACTTCAAACTATAAAAAAGTCTATGAGAATGAGGATACCAGATTCCCGATGTGTGCCCCTGCTAACTGTGTCTATATTGTTTTTTGTGGCAGCCACTCAGGGGTTCACTATACGGCGTTTTAAACCCGGTTTTGGCTCTAACTGCACCGGCTCTGCCTGTCTCGGAGGGGCGGCCTCGCCCGGTGAATTGCAGGGCCTGTTCGGCGGCGGACTCGCCGTCCGGCGCCCCTCCCACGAAGACATCAAGAAACTAGTATTACAAGGAATACAAGAGAAGGTCCTGTTTAAGCTGGGGATGGACAGGGCCCCCAGGATCAACGCTACCCAGGCTGTGCCTCATGAGGTGTACCAGAAGGCCCTTCAAGAGCTGAAGACGACTGACCGACACAAGATCCCCGTGAACTCCAACCTTGCTCAGGTGTCAGAGATTATCAGCTTTGCCGAGGCCGGTAAGTTTTTTTTTCTAAATTTTTCTCCCTCTTTATGTGGAATACTAGAATTTTTTTCGAGGGATGGTCTTGTACGACAACAACGTGTGTGTGTGTGTGTGTGTGTGTGTGTGTGTGTGTGTGTGTGTGTGTGTGTGTGTGTGTGTGTGTGCGCGAGTGTGTGAGTGCTATTTAACTGAAATACAGTATCAACCAAGATAGATACTTCTCGTATAACCGTAGAGAGACACTCTCAATCACACCGTGCTGTACAGTACATATTTGTGTTCGTGTACAACCAGTCGTAGCAGAGGCAAATACCAGGGTCCTATTCACTCATAATCTAATCAGCTCGTGGCCAGTGGACATATAGCCATGTAAGAAAAACCTTTACAGATTGAGTTGTAATAGTGGAAGGCCTTTATATCACAGGGTGTGGTATATATATATATCTAACATATGAGAAAACTTCTAAAGGGGAAATTAATAGCATGAGGGGGGGGGTTCAGGAACCGAGAGATACCTGACAATTTACTGACTAATAACTGGCAAGAAAGTTGGCCAAGGAGGATAATTTCTGCGTGCTCCTTTTTTCATCTTTAACTAACCATCTTTTTATTTCTATTTATTTCAACATATTTGAAAGACACAGGATGTGGCAATATTGCGATAGTGGTACAAACATATCTGTTAGTATTACGGACATGTAATCAGCGTGCTCCAGGAGGAGACATCTCAATCATTTTACATCACTCTCAGTTACAATGCCTTTCCCATCGCGTGATTTAGCTTCTTTCTGCGTGGGTTGTGCTGACTGTAGGCGAAATGGACCACGGTCGCGGCGGCTTAAAATGGTCGGCACATTAAGGGCTACGATTAGTGTGCAATGATCACGTCAAGTGGAATAATGTAAACTTGTGTCCACGTGCGTGTGCGCGCGTGCATGTGTGTGTGTCTACGCTTACATTATTCAAAACATTTGGAATAATGTGGCCACGTTAATGTATGTGTAATATATGGCGTGTCAATAAGATATGTGGAAAATGAAGATAATTGTATTCTGCACTATATGAAAGTATGGTCATAGAATACTGCGAAATGATACACTTAAATTACTAAAATATTTCAAGTGATCTTCCATATGTTATCACAAGCCAAGGAATAGTTGTCTAGCTAAGTATTTGTTTGACTTACGGTGATTACGGTTAGCCATATTTCCTGAAAAAAAAAAGTATGGTTGTAATGTTCACATTTTCTCGTCCCCGATTTGTGACAATTTTAATGAAAAACTTTCCAAAATCTTTAGTAAGGCTCTCTTATGTTACACTATCGAGATGAAATTTAACTCTTATCATTTACAAACAACTTGTGAGGCGAGAAAAACATGGTATTGAGTAGTAGATGTGATTCAACGGGTCAAACAGTGCACTTAACGCGTGAGAGCTCGCGCCAACGTACAGGGCGCACTCGCGCGCGTGTGAGTGAGGGGCAAAGGTTAGGCTATTAGAAATAGTTTTGATAGTTTACGGTTAGGCGCAGGGGGATACGTGTACGTTTTTTACATTACACTTTAAACCCACATTTCTCACAAAAATAGTTTCCATAACATAGCACCATTGCTTCCTTATGTCATTGTATGAAACAAACTGCACGGAGGTTCTGGATTAGAGTTTTTGTAATTCCTCGTTAGTGATATCTTCAGTCTGTCAGTCTGTCTCTCTATGACTATCTCTCTGACTCTCTCTCCAACCTCTCTCTCTCTCTCTCTCTCTCTCTCTCTCTCTCTCTCAATTCCTCTCCCAACCGCCTCTCTCTCTCTCTCTCCCTCTCTACCCCCCCCTCTCTCTCTCTGCCCCCCCTCTCTCTCTCTCTCTTTCTGTGCGCGCGCGTGTGGTGTGTGTGTGTGTGTGTGTGTGTGTAGGGTGACCACTGAGACCACTGAGGCCGTAATAGCGGCTCGTCATGCTGTCTGTTACCCTGACCCCACGCTTCATCTCAGGGAAGACCGACGGCCCGAGGAGGAGGCGTGACATTGCCAAGGACAGCCAAGGAGACGGTGTTGGCAGTGACTTATTCACGAAAATGAACGCGACCTTGGTGGCTCTCCAGAGTTTGATTCATAGGGCAGAGTATGGTCGTGGATTAAAGCCAGGCAGGTAGAGAGGAGGAAAGCACGCGGTGAGGCCGGGGGAGGGGGGGGGGCAGATGAAGCCACTTCTTCCCGACTTCCGACTTAAGGTTTTCTTTTTTACGAAAGGACACATGGTCCCCTAGCTGAGATTCAACTGCTGCGTCCATGCCTTACTTACCACGAGTATAAGTCAACGCCGTATAAAAACCCCTGTTTTGTTGTCCTAAGACATTAACAAGCGGAGCTTGTATGTAACAGACCTAAGGCGCAATGGATGTGGAAAAAGTAAGTTCAACTGACGTCATCATCGCATGCGAACGTTGCACACGATGCATTATTAGACAAACATGCCCTAGAATTGTACATTTGATGCAGATCTAATCAATGATCAATTTTAACGTGTTCGTAAAAGATGTTAAGAACAAGGCTAGACCAGTCGTTAGTGGTTGGAGTTGGACAGAATCATGGCTCCCAACAAACATAGAATGTTATCATAACGTTACCATACCGTTTATATAACCACAAAACGTAGCAACGTTTTGGTAACGTTATAAAATGCTCTGTGATTGTTGTGAGGCCGTGTGCTGGGAGCCGCCCTGTGTTTGTCCAATAGTCCTTTACAATATCGTCGATTATTTAAATTCTTGGAGAATTGGCAAAGTGTGTGTTTTACTGCTCTTTTCTTGTTTACATTTTTCGTTTAATTTTATGAAAAAAAAAAGGAAAAGAAAGAAAGAAAGAAAAAAAGAAAGCAGTAAGAAAGATTTCTGTTAACTGAATTACAACTAGTCATTGTAAAATATGCTGATGTCTTCTAACCGAGTCACCTTGTTCTTTTTGTCATTCAAGAATATTTGAAAAAGATAATAAGACAAAACATGTTCCGCCGCCTTGTTTCTCTGAAAGACGCCCGTATATGATTCACGATGACATCACTTAACCCGGAGGGAGATATGAAATGCAACCATGAAGCAAAATATGTATATTTGTTTATTCCATTACATATTGACAGTAAAGCAAACCCCCCTCCAAACCAAAACAGACCGTTCGTTCCCACTGTTTGGAAGGGTGGGTCCTGGAATTGAATAACGAGCACGGTTCTTAACACCCACCCATCCATTGTTGCCCCCTCCTCCCAAAGTGCGTCTTCCCCCCCTCTCTCTCTCTTTTTCTTCCCCCTCTCACTTTCTTCCCCGTCTCTCTCTCTTCCTCTCTCTCTCTCTTTTTCTTCCCCCTCTCTCTCACTCTCTCTTTCCATCAGACTGTACCCCTTTCAGCGTTTGATCCAACCCCGCAGCATACAATAAAACACTACATTCAAGGCAGAATTAATGCACATTATAAAACAGCGGCTTAATTTCAACGTGGAAACACCTGTTGACCCGCTGTCGCTGTGCGTTCAAATGTTAATTACTTTAACCTTATGCGGGAACTTGTAACTCGCGGTACATATGTTCACAGTTTATTATGACCCTTTGAATGTGTTTGTATTTGTTTTTGATCGTGTATGTTTCAAAGCATGTGCTATTTTCTAATAGCCAGCACTTATTTTCGATGAAATTCCATTTGTCGGGTTACCTGGTAAAATGTTCAGATCAGTATATTTATATATGTAATAAAGATCGTTGTTTTTGTATAAGTTTAAAATGTCATTGTATACATGTATATTTCAATTCGCAAACTCTAATTAGATTTCTTCTTACCGCTCTTCCTTGGCTTAAGTTGATAGATGTATGGGACTACTGGGTTGATTAGACAGGAATATCTTTAGTTTGTGATAAGTAATTATCATCTTTGATCCAAAAACCAAGCTAATGACCCTTTTTCCCCTCGTTAATAGAAGATAATTGTATTGGAAATCTCATAACGAAGCCACTTAAACATTGTTATTTTCTGTCAAAAGGCACCATCTGTGATTGTTGAATTTGAACCTGAAATTTCTTAAGTAATGGGTGTAACTATGTATATATAAAAATATCAAGAAGAGGTGTGGATGTTTGTATCCACGGTTTACAAGACACCTGATCTGTATATACGGGTAGGACATCAACACCGCCAATCTATAGCCCGCTCTCGACGGATTTCTATGGACCTTCCATTCAGGCATAATAGAAGCTAATAGTAACAGTTTGAACTGTGTCGCTCCCATTCACATCCAAGTCCCACGCTGTTTCCATTACTCCGCCTATTTTGGTTAGAAAATGGGTTGTTTGTCCCCTATTTGAGTCGATTTATATAGCTACCTAAATTAAGATTGACTTCCCATGCAGGAGCAAGAAGGAGGCGGCAGGCCTCTGTTCCTTGCTCTATTTTCTTGAAAGTAAACAACAGAGGAAGTTTTTTTATTTGTGTGGGAGTCTAATTTTTCATAGCAATAAGCCGCCAACAATGGCTACAGGGCTAATCCCTGAACTGCAAGATTCAAAAGAACTTCAATTGAATATCGCCGCCCGGGCATTAGCCTCTTACTACGTTACTCATATTGCTAATATGAGAGGAAGGGTACGCGTGCTACCGTCTTAGACCTCACCACGCCCAGAAAATAAAGCCAACCCACGACCGTTACTCTTTGAAGGGCAAGCTTGCCTCATTAACGCTCCAAATTATCAGCATTACCGATGCTCCAGGCGTCTTATAATTTTCCGCACAACCCACCTTTTTATTGTCATTTTATTTTATTTTTAGTGTCAGCGCTTTTTAAAATTAATTTTAGATATTCTGTAGGACGTATTGCCTTGAATGTAGAATGCACCATAACAGCAAAAACATTGATAACAACGACAACAACAACAACAACAACAACAATAATAATAATAATAATAATAATAATAATAATAATAATAATTCTAAGTTGCCATTAAAAAACCGGGGAACCATTGTTCATGTCAGA